CTCACTAGCATTTCTGATTGGGCTAAGCTTAACGGCCTCATAGTGAATGAGCGCAAGACTCAGACAATTTGGTTTGGTACTAGGGGACTAATTAATAGGCTGAAAATGTATGACACTCTGCACAACATTTCATTAAGTGGCATTAGTATCGAACCCAGTGAATGACATAGTTGAAACATAGTACCTCAATTGCCAGAAATAGTTACTCTACACTAGCTCGGCTTGGACGTTTTAGTGACAGCCTACCTAGTGATACCTGCCTGTTACTGCTGTGTATCTCTACTGTACGGGATTTCTGCTGAGATAGAAACCAAAGTTTGCAGGTGCTCGAACGCAGCCCTGCGTTTTGTAGACAGGATGCGTAAGTCCGACCATATCACTCCAGTCTACAAAAAATATGACCTGATCTCTTTCCCTAGTAGAAGGCATTACATTATGCTGTGCCAGCTTGGGGGTGTGTTGAAGACTAGCGTTTTATCATATGTTGCTGAGCTTTTTGAGTTCAAGTCGAGGCCTTTTAATGTTGCTGGCCTGCGAAGCTTTGATACTTTAGAACTGCAAGTAGTACGAGCTAACCTTGAAGTCTTTAGGCATTCCTTTACCGTAGGGGCAGCTACGGAGTGGAACCGTTTATCCGCTTAGCTACGCGTACCACAAATCACTTGGAACAAGGATCGGCTCCACAAAGTCATCAAGGTACGACATAAACGTCTTAACCTTAGTTTTAAATTCCTCGGCCTTAGTTATCTTGAGACTTGGTTTTCATTGAACTTTTTTTTTTTATCGCTATTATTTGTATTTACTATTATCTTTTGTATTTCAAGTTGCATATGTCTGATACTAATATATTATGGTTTAAATAGTCTAAATAACATTATTCGTAAGAATGGCTGAATTTATGTGGGAACTGCCTTAGATCACTCAGAGTCAGTTCCAACGCAAGTCCTGCATTCTGTACTGAGAGGAGTTCCTTAGGGTGAGCTACTAACTATTGCATTGCTAATTTTGCCCCAATATTTACTAATATGAATAGCTTATTTTTGTGGGTATCGGCGTTTCTTTCCTAACTGCTACAAATAGTAAGTTTGGCTAAATCTGTGTCACTTGTTAAGATTCTTAAATTTTTGCGTAACCTAGTCAAAATTAAGGGTTTAGAAGAAGCTTCGTTGAAATTTCATAACACTTTGAGTATAAAAACGTCCTTACCTTATGATTCGTATGAGAATAATAACTGGTTGCAAAACATGGGACGGATAATTTTTTACGCCACAGCTGAAAATTGACGAAATTTATTTGAAAGATATATCTGGCTTGTTGATGGTACGTTTAATAGGCCTGCTATATTTTATCAGCTGTTCCCTATTATAGGTCTAGTATCACAAGTAAATGGTCGAATAACCAAAACTACTAACATAATGTTTGTATACTCGTTGGTTGAAAACAAAAAAGAAGTGGTGTATAATAAAATATTCGATGTAGTATTAGAGCATGCTTTAAAGTTTTCTATCGTTCAAATCTACAGTGAAAGTCATAACGGACAATGCACCTCATTTCTGTAAAGCCAGTGGTTGGTTCGATAGGAATGACTATAATTGGTAATGTAACCAATAGTAAGGCTATGGCGCCTCCATGTATCCGTATAAGCACAAGCTAATGTGCCTGTGCGTGGTGAGTGAGCACTAGCAGAGCAGCTGTCAACCTCTTCCCATTGTATATATTGCACTACCATACTTAGATATCCTTCCGAACTTCTAGCGTTTAAAACAGCGTTTAACAGAAGCTTTTCTTTTAAATAAAATTTTTCAGTTTATCATTAAACTACTTTTTCTGCTTGTTTAGTTGGACAACACTCTAAGGTAGTGAAGAGGTGGGTGCCTTCTAGCTTACACTCACTATTTGTTAAGTTAAACATTTTAACTTTCTAGGAGCACTAAATTTTATTATTTGCACAGAATTTGATACCAATTCTTTGCTCAATTTTTTTCAACAGTTAAAAATTTTTGAACATGAAAATCTCGTGTAATTTTTATGATTCTTACGCATAAAAAAAACATTTCATGAAGTTAAATTTTGAACACATTTTTAGGACGAATGCGCCAACATAAGGAGGAATGGAAACGTAAATCAGAAATGTAAATATTCTGCAAAATCTAAAAAGTTGTCTTACTTTTTGATTACAATTCGAAATCCCAGAAAAAGATGCTTCCGAACAGTCGTATCTAGAGGAACTTAAAAAAATTTGAGACCCCTAAGATTGATTGCTCTCGAGAAATAAATTGTTAATTTTCTTATACTCCATTCTTATAATAAAGATAGTTTTTTAAAGACAGTTTTTTTTTTTTAATAAGTTTTTCGAATACTTTTATAGTTATAGACACGATTTAAGAAAGGAGTACAATTCAAAGGACTATCTTTACTGTGCTGTCTGTTGTGGTTGCCTAGCAAACCCACCAACGGATTGATGAGTGTCGAAAAAGCAGCAAAAGTTTGAACGCATGTTTACGTTACTTGGATATAAATACAAAATAAATTTTCGAAAGGTAAAGATTTCGGTTTGCACTTGAACAACCATTGCCTAAAAAAGAGGCAAGAATAGAGACTCTGTACGTTATTTAATGCTTCTACACAGTGCAGCCATCCTTTATCTGGATTCTAAACGGATGAAAAAAAGAATCCATTTTTAACGATCACTTTTCAATTGCCGTGTAGTTTTTTTTACAGCAGTCACAACAATCACATTTTATAATCTGTCTATTTTAATATGTATTAGCATTTATATCATAATTTTGCTTAAGACACAAAGTTAATTTGGAACATTGCTCTTCCACCTGTAATAAATATTAGCAACTTTGCGGTTCCCTGACATTTTTATCTTACCACGCTGCATCCACAGGGTCAGGCCTTGCTGCTTCTGTCTATGTATAATGTCTTTCTTTCATTCCCCAGTGTTTAACGTACGGGTTTCAAGATGTCTTTTAAACATCACATAATTAATTCTTTAATAAAAAGTCCGTAAATTTCTTTACCACCATGCTAACATGTATGTTTCTAGCCTTTCCTTTTTTACAACGAGCACTTTACCTTTCTGGCCTCAAATTCTGTAAAGTCAACGACTTTATCCGTGGTAGCCCTTTGCTTGTAAATAGCTTTGTTTGCTGTGCGTTTTAAAAATACATCCCATTTGAGTCGTCACCTGAATCTTCTCTTCATTAACATTCTTTAACCCCTTGATCTGCGTAAATTTTATCTCACTTACCCCCTGCTCTATCATAAACTAAGTTGGTATCCTTTACTTTCAGAGTCACATCTTTGTTTGTGTTTTCTATCCGAATTTTTTTTCATTTGAATTTTAATAGCTTATTTATATTTTTTCAGACAAGCAATGTTTTTTAATTGATAGCGTTCCTCAAAAGTATCTAATTATTACCTTAATGTCTAATACAGAATATTATTAATATTAAATAACACATAAATTTTGGTCTTAAAAAAAGTTATGTGCACATAACTGTAACATATTTATTTAGCTAATGATATTGAATAACTAACACCGATAACAAATTAATGTATTAAAAAATTGTACTCCAATTTTACGAATAATTTTACAGTTTTCCAATTTTGTACGTATTCTGACACGTATTCTAATTTAAGCAGTCAGAAAATACATTATGCATCATAATGATAGTGTTTCAAGTAAGATATCGATAGTACGAGAAAAAAATTTACTTAAAAAGATTTCAACGTGCACAGAGAACCGCAGATAGTACAATAACTATTTGTATATTCAGACACGCTAAATTAAAATGGGATGGTAGAGTTTGTGCAGTATGTGCCCAGCTTCACAAAAATGGAGAAGTTAGCGCATCACTTAAGGTGGCTCCAGCGCCTAGTGCCGTATCAAAATGGGGAGACTAAAAATTAATCATTGTTTTCTTTAAAATATGGTATAAAATTATCGTAGAGACTGTTGTAAGCCATATTCTACATTTTATCTGTTACTTTAGTAAATTAATATAAAAAAACAAAAAAGTTTTATGGTGCCCTAATTGATGAACTGTTACGGTACGCTCCTAAGTTCAAGAGTAGTTATACCTATATATATGTACTCTGCAGAATGCAGACAGCTGAGAGCTGACTTGCACTCGCAACTGTATACTTAGTCTCCGATTATTTAAAGATTTTGTTCGATAACAAGACACTTTTCTCATGTCATCGAAAACTGCGTAATAATATATACAAGATAGTATGTTTTTTACACCTTACAAGTTATTTATATAAGTGCAGCAGTAGGTTGTATTTCGCGTAAGCTTGCATTTCCTATCGAACCCGTCTTAAAACTACGATTTTGTAAGCATGATTTCTTACAATTTTCATCGTCAGCCTTAATTTTTTTTTATACGAATAGAAAGATGGGAATTCAAAGAATATAATTCAATTTTATTAACCTCGGTTGGGTTATTTATAATTTTAACATTGAGGCCACTGGAAACACCTTAAGATCAGTTCTCGTCTGGGACAGAGCAATTACTATAAAAACTCTGTAGTCACTTACTGCTATCACTGGCATTTATGTATTTATGTGGTAATGTTAATGATGATAACAACAAGTAGCTATCTACAGTTTTTGAAAGATACTAGAGTATTCAAAAAACACTGTAACTGACTAATGTTGTATATACCCACATAAGCAGCCATAGAAAAAAAATCTGACTTTGAAATTTATCAAAATTGCATTTTAACTACGTACTTTTCCACTGAAATTGTTTCCAATTTTAGGTTTGATACTTTTTCGTATTTTAATTTATAGAAAAATAATTTACTTACGTAACGGCCTTATCTCTTTTACTTAAGGTCATTTTGTGTGAGCTTAGGAGTTTAGTAAAAAAAAGTTCGAGCGAGAAAAGAGATTACATCAGAAGGAGACTAACACCTTCTGTTCAAAGGTAAAAAGAGTATTTGTAAAATAAATTAGTTAGTTATCAAAAAACTTGAAAATACATTACCTGTTTATTAGCAAATATAAGCAGCACAGCATCTCGCAGTTCGTCCTCGGCTAGCATTCTCATAAGTTCTTCCCTTGCTTCACCAATACGTTCTCTATCATTGCTATCCACAACAAATATCAAACCCTTAAAAAAAAAAGATTGAAATTAAAAAAAAAAAAAATGTTGGTATATCTGCTGAGAGTGGTAAACTTATGATAAGTTTTTATTAATACAGCAAATTGTTTTTGCAGAACTTTTTACTAACCATTATCGACTACAAGTTTAGATTATTGTAAATTAATAAAGATTTTTTAGAAAGAACTTATTTATGCCACATCCTGCAAGGGAATGAACTAGAAAAAATTTAAGGCCTAACGCAAAACCGAGGCTATCTCATGCAACTGTGAAAGAAAAAAGAGACTGGTTGAATAGTGCATGAAGAAGGGCGGATGGATAGTCGAAGAAAAGCTGGGGCGTAAGGAGAGGGGAATAGGCCAGTTCGTTACAAACTGCGAAGTTCGTGCATACATTTTACTGGACACTACTCGAGTGTATCGAAATGATAGTGTATAACTTTTCTTCTTCGCATGTGGGCTAACAATGCAACTCAAAGTTCATCACAAATATGAAAGTATTGTATTAGAACCACTAGAACTATAGTATGTAGGTACATAGTAGGCAGCACTTAAATGTTGTGAAAACTGCTAAATATGTATATATAAATACTTTCTATCATACCCCCACCAAAAGACAATGTCTCTTCCCTGATTTCAAAGTCTACAAATGTTTTGTATTAGTTACTATTTCCAGTACAATAGCAAGATTTTTTGTCTGTTGTACAAATACAGTTTTGATAAAACTTTATTTGCAAAATACTGCACATAAAATATTTAAATACTTTTTTACATACTTAGTCTTTTTCTCATCTTACATATATTTTTTTCTTTTTAAGCATTGACATTGCTACAAAACACTTGTTTAATGCTGCGTTGTAAATAATAAAAAAAAAACTCTGTAACAGAAATAATGCATAATATTCATAATAAAAAATTGTATCACAAAAAATGAAAAACTTCACGTCTGCATAGGCACAAAAATAATTATGTGTTTGTATGTAACTAAACTACAATTGTGCTACTTATAAGAGCTTCAGAGTCGATTGCGGGCTGTAAGCTGTGAACCATGTATAAAACATGTAAGTAGCTGCAGTTTATATTGTGAAACACAGGTACATGTTTATAAGTATATAAAATATAATATATACCATAGAACACAAAATACACACAAACAAGCTATACACCTAAGTAAATATTGTACACTGGCCAAGCGTTCATTTGTTCCGCATAAATTCTAATATACGCTAGTCAGAAAGGTTATGTTACAGAACCAACCAATAGTTATTATATTTTTACATTTTCTACGGAGCGAATGAATATTTAGCCATTGTACGTACATACACGTACATCTTTACGTATGTACATGCATGCTAGTTGTTTTTACGAGTACTAGCAACACTAAATTTTTTCCATTATCAATTAGATTATAAAATCTGAATCCCTTAGTCTTATAAGGGCAGTGATATTATAAGTGTGCATGTTAATCGTACAGAAGCACTACGTGTTAATAATGTATGTGTTTAAAAGGTATCACAAAATTGGCCAAATGTAACAATTTTGTTTATTGGCTAAATGAAGGTATCAATGCTAAGGTTCACAACTACTTGTAACTGAGTAGATTTGTCAACATAACTGTAGTTTTTTACTTTCATATACTGTTATAAATTATCTAAGCTCAAACTTTATTATTTTCATTAAAATGAGTCATACGCCACTTATTTTTTTTGCTTATTCTGTGTGATAATTTTTCATGTCTTCGATAACTAGTATTATTTTTCTACATAGTTTTTTTAACGAGTGAGGTTCGGAGCTATATGTAATACAATTTTCTTGCATTGTTTTATATTTTGTTGTTGGATTATTTTTAATTTTATACGTTATTTTACTGCATGTGCTTCAGGAGCTGTGTTTGTGCAACAAGTCTTGGTACAAAAAAAACTTTTTTTTCGTTAATTTCTATTGAAGACCATAACCACTCTTAGTTTTCTTAAAAAAACCCATAAAAGATTATTAAGATTGCACAATATGTGTATTATTTCGTATGATTTCTTGTATTAAGTAAGCAGTAAGTCAGAAAACACGTATCATAAAAAAGGTGTTACGTCAAAAAAAGACCATCTCATAATTGTTAGTTCCGATGATTTCAGAAAAAAATCTTTAAATTCAAGCAAAATTATACTTAGCATAAAAAGTATTATAGTTCATGTTTTTCAAGCTCCATTTTTATAATAATTCTTTTTTCGTAATGTGCTTCATACCAAATACATTGGCCAAAATTAGGTCCCCAAAATTTGTGTATAATTCAACTAAAATTATTTACGACTTTTTAAAGTACAAAATGTAACTGAACCAATAGAAATATAATTTATAACTTATTTTTGTTTCTGCGAGTGATTTTAAGTCAATATGTTATGAGCAGCAAATAAGTTTATTACATTTAAATTTACTCTTCAAACTTGAAAGAGTAAGACCCCCTATCTCTCTCTTGGTCGCGCGCCCACACACACACACACACACACACACACACACACACACACATATGCACACACAAAAGGTTATTAACAATCTATTGCACACGCATACGAGTTTTGTGAATTTTTTAAGCCGTAAAGGGGCATCAGGCTTGAAAAGTACAGAGTTTTTTGTAAATATGTATCAAAGCAAGTACAAAAAAAATGGAAAAAAAAATTTATAAAATTGTCCTTTTCCCTAATTTTTTCACCATAGCACTTTTCATATCAAAATAAATAGAATCCCTTTGATGACATAAAAACACTGACGTATAAATATTGTTATATAAAATTGTATCTAAGGTTTTTTTTCATACCTTAACTTATACATATCAACAGTTCAGTAGGAGAACAACCAACCTCAATAACGAATTTAAAAAACGTTATATCTGGAATTGATATTAAAAAATGTCTTACCTCCAATTAATTATAAAATTGTTATATCTAAAAATAATATAAAATAATGTCTCATATCAAATCTGTACTTAAAAAGTCGCGGCAACTGTTTTGCGTGCATTCGTAGACCCATTTACATGCGTTTAACACTGTTTTTTTAAACTGCAAAAATAACTTGTCAATCCCTCTAAAAATTAAGTATAATCCCAGTATAATGGTATTAAGTCATACGAAAGAAAGTGGACGAATTCTACCAACCATTTACTCATGAATCCCATTTTTATGTGACTCTTCCTTAAGATTACGTGTTAAATTAAAGTTTTTTCAACATTAAATATCTAGAAAACGGTGTTGTAAAACGGTGTCAAACTTAACATGTGACTTTCTAACATGATAACGAATATCCTGTCAAAATTTCCGGAAGATTCTACCCAAAACACTATGTGCCTTGAAGATCCTTCAAAGTATTTTCATCTTCGCTTTCGATTATCCATTTCACATCTAAAACTTTCTTCATCTTTTGGCTTTTGAACTATATTCCACTTTTTATTTTTAGTAAAATTTTTAATGTTAACATGCATGGCTTCTTGCGATTTTTGGCTTTCTTTTGAACTTAGTGCTACGATATATTCGGTATATTCGTGTTAATACAATTAACGTATATTACATGTGTAAATGGATTACCATATATTTTAATAAAATTTTTTTTTTCTGATTTTCTAGAATAAAATTCTTGCCATTCATTTTTAATCGCAATTTTTTTTTATTTTCATTTATCATCTTATTTTTCTTACCACTAGTTTTATAATTTTTGTTTTTAACACTTTTGTTTTTTTCATAATCAAATTCAATTCTGCTCGATTGATCACACTCTGTTTCTAATTTATGTCTCAAGCAAATAACCTTAATTTTATCTTCTATTACTTGAGCGGGTCTAGATAGTATTCCTGTATTTGTAACTAGCACTCTATAACCATAAGCATTATAACCAACAAATAATTCTAACTCGGCTCCATCGTCCCGTTTTTTTTTAACTTCTGGTTAACGTACAAACACCCTACTTTCATAAATTTTTAATTGTTTTACGTTAGGCTTAATACCATAAAATATTTGATATGGTGTTTTAATTTTAATTATGATTCGTATTATTTAATTGTTTAAATAAGTTATTTTTCTCATTATTTTGGGCCTAAATTTTATATTCATATTTACTTTTTTCATCAAACATTTACCCATATCCATTGCCGTCTGTTGATGCCTTTAAACCCTTTTTTTTACATTTAGATTCTACTCAATTTACATAATTAATAAAGCATCCCTCTGTGTCTTACTTATTTTTTCTACAATAAGTTTTTACTCATTTCCTGTATTCATTTGTGGAGGGGAAATGCATTGAGGCACACCACAGAGACAGTGGTAGTGTGGGACTCGGTGGATTCTTTTATTAGACCACCCATACCCACTAAACCCCCCCTCCCATGCCGCGTGGCTTTTGTTCCACCCCAGAACCGCGTTAGCATTACTTCAGAGTGGAGCCACCAGGGAGACTATCACGTCTCACAGCATTAACGAGCTAACTAGCCACCATTTGCTAGAGGGGCCAATTCTCTTGAGTCCTGCAGAGGACTCGGGATCCCTGATGATTGGCACCCGTTCTCTAGGGCTATAACATTTTATGCTTTTCTGTGCTGCTGCCTAAAGAGCAGCCTCAGCGTCCCGCACGGCGGCTTTCTCCTCTTCCTTCTTGCGACGGACCACTGACCCGACGTAACCGTCCACCGCCCTCCATCTCTCTTCAGTGCGAAGCATCTCAAAGATGATGTTTTCGGAAGTGGGTGTCACGCCGAGCTTGTCCACCAGTTGCTGGCGCTCACGGTGCTATCTCTCGCACAGGAAAAACGTGTGTTCGACAGTATCATCCACCGCGGGGTAGTAAGGGGTAGTAAGCACATGTGGGGGATGCTTTCACCGCCACGCGATGGAGATAGGCATCGAACTGACCATGCCCAGAGAGGAACTGAGTGAGGTAATAATTCACCTCTCCGTGCTGTCTCCTCATCCATGGTCGCAGGTCCGGGATAAACCGGTGCGTCCATCTATCCACACTAGCCTGATCCCAATC